AGCTGAGACTTGCCAAAAATATCAAGAGCAACAAAAAGGGCTTCTTTCAGCATGTAAATAGGAAGAGGAAGGGGAGACAAGTAGTGGGACCACTAAATAAGGAGGAATCCAGTGACTGATATGAGGGAACAGGCACAGATGCTAAATGACTATTAGATGAGGCTGGGGACTTAGGGGCACAGATTAGAGTCACCCCCCTTGAAGTCGAGGGGCTCCTCAGGGCATTGGACATTACAAAGGCACCAGGCCCTGACGGGTTACACCTGAGAGTACTTAGAGAGCTGGCAGGGGTTCTCTCACACCTGCTGGCCTCAATTTTTGAGGCCTCGTGGAGAACGGGTAAAGTTCCAGAGGACTGGAGGGTGGCATCAGTGGTCCCAGTTTTCAAAAAGGGTAGTAGAAGGGACATGGGGAATTACAGACCAGTTAGCCTTATGTCCATTGTAGGAAAAACAATGGAAAGGCTCATAATAGAGAGAGATCTAGTGATGCTAGATAGGGAAGGGAGGCTGATAGCCACACAACACGGCTTCCGCAAAAACAGGTCCTGCCAGACAAACCTTGTGGAATTCTATGACAAGGTTTCGAGATGGCTAGATGGAGGGGATGCAGTGGATGTGGTTTACCTGGATTTCAGCAAGGCCTTTGACAGAGTGCCCCATGATATCCTGGTGGAGAAACTGAGGAGTTTTGGGATACACCAAAGCACTGTCCGATGGATTAGGGCATGGTTGACTGACCGAAAGCAGAGGATAACCATTATTGGGGAATCATCAGGATGGCAGCCAGTGACAAGTGGGGTCCCCCAGGGCTCTGTCCTGGGACCGATCCTGTTTCATCTTTTCATAAATGACATGGAAGAAGGGGTGAACAGTCTGCTGATCAGATTTGCAGATGATACTAAAACTGGAGCAGTGACCACAACTAAGGAGCAGGTACTCCAGATCCAAAAGGATCTGGAGAGACTATGGAAGTGGACAGGATGATGTTCAATGTGGATAAGTGCAAGGTCTTGCACTTGGGCCATAGGAATAGGTGTCATAAGTACAGGTTAGGGGACAAGTGGCTGAAGAGCAGCACTTGTGAAAGGGACCTCAGGGTGCTGGTTGACTGCAGGCTAAACATGAGTCAGCAGTGTGATGCGGTGGTCAAGAGGGTGAACACCACCCTTGGTGGATAGCCAGAAGTGTGGCTTCTAGATCAAGAGAGGTATTACTACCACTCTATGATTCTGGTATGCCTGCAACTGGAGTATTGTGTTCAGTTTTGGGCCCCTCATTACAGAAAGGATATAGCCAGGTTAGAGTCAGTGTAGCGTAGGGCCGCAAGGTTGGTGGCCGGTTTGCAGGGGATGGGGTATGAGGCAAGACTGAGGGAACTGGGTCTCTTCAGCCTGGAGAAGAGGAGACTCAGAGGGGATATGTTGGCAACATACAGGTATGTGAGGGGATGTCACACGGAGGTGGGTAGAGACCTGGTCTTCCCTGAAGAGGAAGGCAGGATGCACTCCAACGGAGCAAAGCTCAGGGAACCAAGGTTCCATTTAGATACCAGGAAGCACTTCCTGACAGTCAGGACCCCAGGGGTATGGAATGGGCTTCCATGAGAGGTCGTTGAGGCCCCATCAGTGAGGGTGTTCAAAGATAGGCTGGACGTCCACATGGTGGGCATGTCGTGAGTGGAGCCGCCTGGAGCCGCGGGTCAGACTAGATGGCCCGGGAGACCCCTTCTGACTCGCTCTGTTTCTATGTTTCTATAATCCATAATGAGTGAAAAGTACTCATTTCCAGAATGGGAGTGTTCAGCAGAGCTCACAGAAAGAAACTTTGCTGATCTGCCCCAATGTGAAAACTAGTATTTTCACTCATTTCTAGAGGCAGTGTTGAATAGTTGCTCCTGCAAATGCAGTACAACCAGTGGAGGTGGAGTT